GATGGCAGTGATGGTGGTGGTGATGATGGTGATGAGGATGGTAGTGATGACAGTGATGATGGTAGTGGTGATGTAATGACAGAGGTGGTGATAGTGATGACAATGGTGATTATGATGCGATAATGGCAATAGTGATGATGGTGATGATTGTGACTATGATGACTGATAGTGACAGTGGGTTGGTAACCATGACAGTGATGGTAATGACTACGATGGTGGTGGTGAAACCACACACACATGGACATCACTGCATCACATCTTGCACAACCACCCTCCAAGCAGGCATCACTACCTCATTTGACATCTCAAGAAAATGAGACCCAGAGAAGGACAGGCTAGTTGTATCTTGTAAATAACACTGCATGACTCTCTCCTTTCAAATGATGTCTTAATACATCCTAAACTGTAGTGTCTAGTGAGACTCTGTGTGCGTGTGTGTTTGTGTGTGTGTGTGTTTTCATGCTTCTCTGCATCCTTGCTCTCGCCCTAACATCCCACAGCTGGCTCCCTGCAGCTGCACTTCGCCCCAGAACTTGGGGACCCACACACTGACCTGTGGGTAGGGACAGGGTCAGTGATGTGAAATCACCACCCTTCAGACACACGTGTAGCCTTGGCAAGAGACAAGGGAGGAAACTGAGGCCACAGGCTCACACTATGCTCCTCTCAGGGCACCAAGCAAAGGCCCACGGACAACCTCCGGTATGGGCTGACTAGAAATACCCTGTTCCAGATGAGAAAGTGGGCAGTTAGGTGAGTTAGCTTCCCACCACAACCCTGCTGCATTATGTTCCTTTAAATAAAAGGGATTCACTCACTATAATCTCTGTGTCTCTCTGGCACAACACAGACACCATTATAAATTGATGTGGGCAAATTCACCGACCCTGAGGAAACAGGCTTCTCTTGAGCCTGAATTTGGAAAGAGGGGGCATCAGGCAAGAGGGCACTCACCCTATAGGTGGGAGGATCCCTCTGCAAAGAGTGCTCTGCTCTTTTCTGCCCACGTGGGGAAGCAGAGGAGCCGCAGGCTGCCCCGAGGTCAGGGAGCGCCAGACACCGGCAAACTTGGAAGGAACTTTGCGGCACAGGCCAAACCACAGCCCAGCCGAGACAAAGCTGTTCAAACCAGCTTCTAGTAAACTGGAAAAAGCAAAGCATCTGGATGCCGCACTGGGGCTGGGGGTGGGGAGGTGCATCACCCGAAAGGTCAAGAGACAATGCCTTCGCCCACTCCCTCTGGAACCTTTTCCTGAGCCATCCGCCAATTCCTTTAGACCAAGGCCAGAAAAAGGAGCCCAACGTGTCAATATGGAAAGTGAGTTTTCCTCTGCAAAACAAAGGCCCGAAAGAGACACACGCCCCGGCGCTTCCTTTCCCGGCCAGCCCTGCAAAGCAGTCTTTAATCCAGCCATCTGCTTCCTCCGCTTCTTGTCCACCTGGTTCCAGGACGCAGAGACCTCCCTCCCCACAATTCTAGGCTGTCTCAGTGACCTGCCTCCGGCTATAAATGGCTGCACAGGCAGGGCTTGCTGCCCGCAGCCAGGGAGGCCAGACCAGCTGAAATCAGGGTGTGCCCACAGCTTGTCCACCAAGGGATGACTCCTTCCACTTGGCACAAAAAAGTTTGAGTAAGCCAGGCCAGAAGGGACCCAGCTTGATCATTCACTGCTCTGTCCCCAAAGACTTCAAACTGTGTGGTCATCAGCCATGTGGACCAGGTGGTCTTCTGCCTAGCGGCAGGGAGTGTCTGTCTGCAGAAGGGTACCTCTGAGGGGCCAGCAAGATCCAGCCAGGGTCAAACAAGTGTCCTGGAGTAGAGTCCAGATGGACCCCTTTGCATCTTCTGAAATTTTAACCCTGTAAATGCACCGCTCATTCAAAATCTGCACTTAAATTACACTGTAAATTGGTGTTGAGATTCAGGTTAAAGTAGATACAACACTTCAGTCACCTGGTTCCCCCTGGAGACCAGGCTGCCTCCCCAAGAGGACACCACTGCCAGGTGGACATGAGACCTCCAGGGCTTCTGTAGCCAAGTGCCATGAACCAGGGTTAAAACAACAGAAGTTTATTCTCTCAACAGTTCTGGAGGCCGGAAGTCCAAGGTCAGAATGACCAGGTGGAAATCTAGGTGTGGTGGCCCCCTTCTCCCCTCTCCCAGCCCCTGGTGGCTCCAAGAATCCCCTGACTGGTAGCCACAGCACTTGGCCCCCAAGTCTGTGCTCACACAGCTCCCTCCACCCCATCTCAGAAGGACGTACATGGCAGCATTTAGAGCACACCAGGGAACCCAGGACCCCTACTTAACCACATGTGCAAAGTCCTATTGTTCCACAAGAGGAGACCCCCAGGTTCCAGGGACTAGCTCATCTGTATCTTTGGGGGGTTCTGGCCCCATCACCCCTCACTAGGGCCTGTGTGTCCTCCAGGATGGACACTCACCACTGGGCCTATGTTGGGTGGACCTAGCTGGAGAGCCCAAGTCCTTCTCCAGACCCAGAACAGCTCAGGGACACCACCTCGCTCAGGTCTTCCCAGTAACCAGAGAAGCGACACCGTGTCTCCTTGAACATGAAGTAAGATAAGAACACCCCGTATCTTGGGGCATAAAGAAAGTCACCTCAGCTGAAGGGGAACAGGCTGCACTATGGGAACTGTGTGAGTATCCCCACTCAATGCTTCCAGCTGTCCTACTACCTCGGTCTCAGTCCCATCCCACGAGATACCTGCCTAGGGTCCCTGGTGGGCACAGATGTGACCAGGCCTGCTCAGACACACGGTTCTGCACATACTACACCAGCCGCCACTCAACCTGGGCACCCAGAGAGATTGCCTGGCCCACAAAGGGGCCCCTAAGCACAGATCCTCTGGGGTGCCCCTCCAGCCAGTCCAAGTGAGAACCCAATGGCCTTTCAATGCCTTGTATACCCACACCCATTATGGTTTTTTGTTTGCTTGTAGTGGGGATTGAATGCAGGGCCTTGTACAGACCAGGCAAGAGCTCTACCATTCAGCTACACCCAGCCCTTTATTCCTTTATTCTTTATTTTGAGACAGGATCTCACTAAGTTGCCCAAGCTGGGTTCAAACTTGCAATCCTCCTGCCTCAGCCTCCCAGAGTCCTGGAAATACAGGTGTGTACCACCACACCTGATTTGTACTGAGGAATTTATCCTATATAAAAAAATAGACAAAAACTCACAGATGACCATGCAAGGATAGTCACCAAGTGGGTGCTTATAATATATATTTAAAAAAGCAAATAGCCACAGTACAAAGGCAGCTGAGCTGCAACTCCATAGAAATTGATAGAAAAAAAAAAACCCACTAAAAATGTTCTCTGACAGAGAGAGATATTTAGGACATCTAAACGTGACAGTGTGGCATGAGAGCCATTCTGTAAGGACACATGGAGTCAGGATCCTCAAAGGTCGCCCCCAAGCATCCCCAGCATTATCTCTGGGACTTGGGTGACAGGGAAGACTTTTACTTCCCACCTTATCATTTCCTGGTCTTTCCAATTACTGACATGACCACCATCCCAGGCAGGACACGGGAGCCCTTCCCAGCCCTCGGGTCCTTCTCCCCAGAAACAACCAGCCTCCTGCCTGCTGGTGGACACTCAGGCTCCCTGCCCTTGGCCCAGGGCCCTGAGCAGATAGAAGCAGGCAGGCGCTCTGTGGGACAGTGATGCTCTGAGGAACAGTGGGAGGAGGATGCTGGAACATCCAGCCCACGTGATCAGGGCAAAAGGAGGCACAGCAGGGAAGCTGAGGGTGTGGGAAGCTTTGGATCCATTCCCAGCATGAGGGAGGCAGAGGCTGGGATGCCTGTCTCAAACAGGACAGGTGTACACACAGCACAGACCTTCTGCAAGCCACCCGCCCTGTGAGCCCACAGCTCTAGGAAGCAATGACACACCTCTCCTCAAGCCCATTTCCCTGTGACTCTGCCTTGTGATGGGTCCTGGAGCCCAGGGAGGGGCATGTTGCAGCCCAGATAGAGGGGACACAGCACTGCGCCATCCTACCTTCTCTCGTTGTCATCCAGGTGGGCAAACAGCACATTCTTGGAAATGGCCTTGGCCAGCGCCGTCATGGTCTTATAGTCCTTGGGAATGACCTGTGGGAGCCAAGGACAATCAGACCGCATATTGAAAGGGGCAGAGCATGGGATGAGTGACAGAACTGACTCCCAGATGCCTGCTTAACTCTGAGGATCCCAGTGGGGCTTGAAATCAAGCATTCAGCCTTCCCTGTGGTACTGCTATAGGTGATGCTAAAAAGGCATGGGGTGCACTTTATGTGTATTTCAGGATTGTTTTAATTTTTAAAATAAACAAGGAGGAATCCAGAGTGACCAAGAGGCAGTGTGGGCACCATCTAGAATCTCGGATGGTTGTTGACTGGCTCTGCTGGGCTTCAGAGCTAAGCAGAGAGTCTAAAAGACAGCTAGGTCCTAGACTTATTGTCTTTCCTTGATTTATTTATTTTACTAGCTTTTAAAAGAAGTAATTAGCAGTTGTTTAAAATTGAAAGTTGGAAAAAAGCAGGCATGTGGTGCTTGGGACCACACCCACAGGGACAGGGACAAAGTGAGGAAGAGGTAAGAACAGAAAAGGGGTCAGGGTGGGCCAGGGTCAACAGGGTGGGCCAGGCTCCCTGGGAAGGGCTGGGTCAGTAGGTTGAACCGGGTCAGTGGGTAGACCTGGAGGGAGTCTTAGATCCAGCGGTCTAACTCGAGGTCCCTAAGTGATAGAAAACCACAAGTACCCCACTTCCCAGGGTACCCTGCAATCCAAACATGGGGCTCTCAGGCTATGGGCCACACCCAGGTCCCAGGGGGGCTCCGCTGTGACATCAGCCTCTTCATATGTGTGCAAAACATTCTCACCACAGACCCCATGACTACGACCCTGAGATACCACTCCAAGCCTAGCAGGCTTCTCTAGAAGTTTCTGTTAAAGGAGCTGTAAGGACCTCCTTTCTCCTGTACGGTGCCCCTCCTCTGATCTCCTAGTTTCCCCAGAGGCCTTGCCCTGCCCCAGGACCCTGTCAAATCACAGTTAGCAGTCCTGTCTCTTGATTTCTCTGGCTCGGGACACTTCTTGGCCTTCCCTAGCTTTCAAGGGCTTATTTTTTGATATCTGTACAGAGCACTGGCCACATGCTGCAAAGTGTCCCTTGCTTAGGCATGTCTGAGGTTTTCCTTATCCTCACCTGGCAGGGCTGGGTTTGGGGAAGGGACACTATGGAGGTGAAGTACCCTAACAGATTCAAAGTAACACTTTCAGTTTTATCATCTGATCATAAAAGTCCAAGGAATGGACAGGGGGAGTGATTAATGGGTACAGAGTTCTAACTTGTAAGATGAGAGAGTTCTCGAAGGTGGGTGGTAGTGACAGTGACACAGTACTGCGAAGGCACTTAATGATGATGAGCTGTGCACCAGAAAGTGATCAGGATCAGCCAGACTGTGCCCCTAATTCCTGTACTGAAGCCCCAACCACCTGTGTGGGAGATGGGGAAACAGGGTGCTGGAAGGTGTGCTTATAGACCTGGATCTGCCAGGATTAGGGTCCTCAGGAGACCAGAGAGTCTACAGCAGGTCATAACCACACCCTATCTGACGCCCAGAGTTGGGTGGTTGTCCTGTCCCCTCCTTGAGCCTATTAGAATCTAAAATCACCTGTGGTTACAGATACCCCCATACCACACACACACACACACACACACACACACACACACATACACACACACACACACACACACACACACAAACAAAAGCCCCTCCCATAAACACACGCTCAGCTCCGAGACGATGGGGACTCCTACCCCCTGGTGACCATGTCTCCCACCCCATGTGGCTCCAATATCTGACCTGAAGGGAAATGGAGGCCCCAGGGGTGACAGGGCCCCTAGGGATGCCAGGGGATCTGAGCATGTGACCCAGCCAGGCCCTTACCTTTCTAACATAGGAGACTGCATCTTCCTCCGTGTAGACCTCGGCGCTCACACCCCCTCGCCGGCGCCGGGCCTTCACCACAGGGTTCGGAGGGGTTGGTGACACCTCCTCATCATGGGAGTCGGACTGTGAGTTTGACTTCTGCCGGGCTAGAATCTGCCGGTTCTCTTCCTGTATTGAGAGAAGGGAATGGAAGAGGTGAGTCACTGGCCATCAGGCCATAGCCAAGCCGGAAGGAGAGGCCTCAGGGCCCTGGGCAAGGCAAGGGGACCTAGCACATCTCACAAGCTCCTGGTCACCATCACACCTGTCAGATCCCTCTCCCTCTGCCCTGGATTTCAAGGGCCTAAGTCCACCTGCTCCTTACTGGATAATTCTCAGAACACTCGCCAAGCAGGGCACTTCAGACAATTCTCAGCTTAATCAGCACTTATTTCTGGGTTTGTTGGGTGGGTCCTAGTGCCTGACATCAGCTCCTCGGGATCTGAGGTCACCACAAGGGGCTCTGCTCCTTTTGTTCCCTGGTGCCCAGTTCATGGAAAATACTCAGGATACCAGTGGCACATGGCACATGGGTACCTCATGAAGCTCCAGACATGCCGGCCATTCCTGCTCCTGTCTTGGAGCCCTTGCACTTGCTGTTTTCACGGGTGGCATGCCCTTCCTCTGGATCCCCACAGGGCTTCCCACTCACCACCTCTAGGTCCGTGCTCAGTGAAGCCTTCAACCACCCCTCTAAAACTCCAGTGCCCCAGCATCACATGCGGACAGTACCCCCAAGATCATTGTTATGGTTTGTGTCTGGATGTCCCCCTAGAGCCTTATGCATTCATAGGGCGGGCTTCTAGAGTTTATGATTGATCCATGGACCAATGCTAGGATTATGGGTGTGAGTGCCCTGGGGTAGGCAGCTTGCATACAATATAAGGGAGGGAAAGAGGCTTGCTCCCTCACCCCTTGTTCCTTTCCTATGTTCCACCACCATGAACTGTTGCCCTCTGCCATGTGCCACTCAGCCTCAGAGCCAGCTGAGGATGGACTGAAACCTCCACAAATTGTAAGCTAGATAAACCTTTCCTTCCTTCATTCTGGGTGTCAGGTATTTTGTCTCAGCAATGAGAGAAAAGTAATCAAGATAATTATGAATGCCTGGAACTCAACAGGGCCTTGTCTGAAAGCATGTCTCCACAGATGGGACCAAGGTGAGGATGGAGAGGAGATCACAAAGGATCTGAGTGGCTCTAAATCCAACCAGAGTCCTCACAGAACATGGGAGTAGAGATGCAGAGAAGAGGCCCTGAAGACCTAGGCAGAGACTAGAGCAATGCATTCACAAGACAAGGGGTACCTGGAGCAACCAGAAACCAGAAGCGGGAGAGGAAGGCTGTCTCTGTAGCCTTGAGGGAGTGTGGATCTTGGGCACCGTGTGCTCAGACATCAGCCTTCAGCACTGTGAGGGGACAGGTGCATGTGTCCTAGACCCCTGGTGGGGTTATAGGAGACTCATACAGGGCCAGGAAGCCATGGAGTAGGCACTGGGAGCTGGAGCCCTAACCTGTGAGGAAGAGGACAGGCCAGGAAGCTGGTCCCTGCCCAAGGCTGCCTGGCTCCATCCTGCGCCTGCCCGAGGTCAAGATAATACAGGCCCATCCCACCCCTTCTACAGGAGCTCCACCCTGCCTCAGTGAATCAGCACCATCCCTAACCTCCAGGGAGGTTCAGCAGAGGAAGCCAGCCACCCTGAGCCTTCTTCCTGCAGGGACATGTGGAGCTCAGAGGAATGAGAGACAGCACAAGGTGACCCACCACGTTCACGAGCCATTCAGTGGAGCCTGAGGTCCCTCATCACCATCCCTTGCCCTACCCCCCATGTCTTCATGTTCCCAGGACCCCCAGCCAGGGCCTTCCTGTGCTCGGACTTTCCCTCTACACCACGCCCCAGTGTCATTCCTCACACCAGGGTGGATGTCTCACTCTGCCGTGAGTTTTCCCAGGTTCAGTGAGTCAGGAGGGCAGTGCCCCTGTCCTAGACGGGAAGGTGACATCCCTGCCATGAACAGGTGGGTAACACCACTGCCATGGATTGGGAGGGTGACGTCCCTACCACTGACAAGAGGGTAACATCCCTGACCTGCAGAAACCCTCCCACCTTTAACTCCCAGCTCAAGCTCCACATTCAGTCACACGGCCTGGACTGGGCTCTACAAAGACTACAGGGCGAGCTCCTAACACAGTTCCTACGTTGTAAGTGGGCTGTCATTCTGAGGAGCAGGGTGAGGTTGTGCAGCAGGGACATTTGGAGAATCTGACAGTGACAGGCTGCTTCCTGGGCCTGTTGGAATGAGGACATGGATGGGAGTTTCCACAAAACACAGCGGGCCCTTCATCCTGTGGGTGTGGACTCACCAATGACAGCAAGCCTGGAGGGGAGCATCCGCACCCCTGACTGTGGCCAAAGTCCCTCTCACTCACTGCCATGCATCAAGCTCAAGGCCTAAGCCCCAAGGATGAGGTGGAGGGGCTACACCACTTCTCCCAGGCCCACGCCACGCAGCAGACACTGTGTGAGTCACAATGAGGGACGTGCCTGTCATTGCCACTTCTTATACCTGCTGGATCTTAATTCTCAACCAGGAAAGACACCAGCAAGTGTGCTGTTCGATGCAGTCGTTTGCAGTTCTTTAAAAATATCTTTATGGAACTTCCAAAAAGAAGACGGCAGGAGGATGACATGTCTCCTCCCCCGAGACACTCCACTACAAGGATAGTAACATTAAAATATGTGCATATATAAATCTACAACAAAGAGAATGGGAAAGATGCCATCAACCAATTCCAAAAGATTCCTGGAAGCAGATTCAGGCCTGGATTTTGGCGTGCAGACTTGGGTTCTCCTGGCTCCAGGAGGGGAACAAGTCACCCTGGCATGGAGGGTGGGATGGTAGATGGCTGGAAGGACCCTGGGGCAGGAGGCCCGGAGCTGAGCCCGCCGCACCCAGCTCCCTGTCCCCGCCCCCTTTTCTTACCTTTTATTATGGAAATTTTCAAGAAGACACAAAAGTGGAGAGAATAGAATGAATCTCCAGATGCCCTCTCGCAACTCCTATTGTCAGCACAGCCAGTTCTGCATCTTATCCCACTCCCTTTGCCCGTACAGAATCAAAGCAAACCCCAGATACTACATCATGTCACTTTAAATACTTCAGTTTGCATCGCTAAAGATCCCTCTCATAAAACACAGCCACTCAGGAGTAGAGCACTCACCTATCAAGAATGAGGCCCTGAGTCCAATACCCAGCACCACAAAAATAAAAAGAGCACACCCCTACGCAGGTGTGGACACAGCAATACCCATCATCGTCCTCAAGATCAGTATTTATTCCTTTTTTTTTAGGTTTTCATTTCTATTAGTACATATTTGCAGGGAATAATGATTACAGTCATCAGGAGAGGTCCGGTGCATGAACATAATGCATCTCCATTCTTCTTTTTATACTCCCTTCCCAATCACTCTCTCTCCCTTCCCTCCATTTTTGGTTCAGTCAATTTCAAAAATTCCTGATTTTCTCTATATTTAAAGTGGGTTTTTTAAAAATTCTAATCAGGATCTAAATAAAATGGCTGATTAATGCTTAAATGTAAACATAAGGTTACTTGACTCTGAGGAAAATATTCAACATGAAAGTAAAGTGCAAGAAAAATAAAAATAAGCCCAGCATGGTGCCACATGCCTGTAATCCCAGCCATAAAGAGGCTGAAGCAAGAGGATCACAGTGAGCTTGAGGCCAGCCTGGGCTGTATAGTTAGTTCAAGCCAACCAGAATTACATGGCTAGACTTTGACGCAAGAAAAGAAAACAAATAAGCAAAAATGAAAATGATAATAAAAACATGACCCTGAAGGAAATAATTTAGGAAAGAAAAGACAACTTCAAAAAAGATTTCATATATATATAATATAATATATAATATATTACATATATTACATATATAATATATTACATATATTATAATATATTAC